GTTGAGCCTTCCGCTCCACTCCTCCCCTGCAGCTGCGCCCGGGGCCACGCCTCCGCCACACACGGCTTCAGACCTTAATGCAGGGTTTGCTATGTGTGTGCGCTTAGTCTTACAAGAGTTTCATGTGTGATGCAGGTGATGCATGGCTATTTAAATTCTTCCTTTTAAGGCCGTGGCCCCATCTCCTCTCCTGCTGCAACTTTACTCCTCCCTGTGAAGGTGCTTGCACCGTCTCTACATGATAGCACGACTGTTTTGTTCTTCCTGATCTAATTATCTTAATTTGATTTTTGCACATATGTCACATGCAATACATTTGCCAATTTATCCATGGACTTCTTTGCACAAGTGATCCATTTTTCCTCACATCATAATTAAAGTTTAATAAATCTTTGTAAATCTTTATTCAGTTGGCAGTGTGACTTCGTTCTTTGTTGCAGCCTAAGTATAACACAGTACACACAAACCGAGGAGCAGAAGGAAGAATAAATCTATGAAAAATGTCAAAATTCTATTGCAAGAAATATCCCTGAATGAATTTAACTCATAACATTTGCTTAAATTGTGTGTCTTGACTTTAACTTCTTGTCACTAATCTAATGTAAACAACAATCTTTTTCTTTTTCCATTCACTAAACTTTGTTTTATCAAATAAAAAAACTTTATGGCGTCGTTGTGACATCATAGGTTGTCATTTAAAAAAAATAGTGTGTTGTACATCTTTGTCAATGCCCTTTCATATGATATATTACAAGATCAGATGCTTAGCCAACAGAGGTATTCATGTCCCCCAAGGTCTTGTGTATTGCTGTGAAGTTTGATGACGGTCCATAACGAACTGTGGGTAATATAAAGTTTTACTGATTTTCACAGTTGGTGTGACCTTGAACCTGACCGGTTTTTTAGCAAAATTAAATAAACTCAAGCTGTTATTGGCATCTATTTTCTCTTGAAAACTGTGGACGACTGCACTGCTGACACTAACAGAGACAGAGAGACAAACAAACTGAATCGATTACATACTCCCCCACTGGGGTGAGAAAAATGAAAACATGATAAGTACAGTTCATCAATGACAACAGATCTGACTCTGATTGCATGAAAGCCTTAACTTATTTTAGATAGCGTCTAACATGTTAGACGCTAAAATTAACATGTTGTTGTAAACATTCATTCTGGTAACTCAACTGAAAGCTACATGTACACTACCATTAAACACTGCCACTGATTCCCATCTTTATGCTGTGCTATGTTGCATTACTAAAACCATTTTTGCCTGATGCTGTCTCCGCTCCAGGGCCCAGTGTGAGGTGGAAGACCATCCAGAGGTGAGGAAACACACCTTTCATCTTCTCAGCGTTCCCTGAATAATCCTGCCCTTAACTCTTCTCTGGATCTGGGTCTCCGCCTACCTGTTCCCCAGCTCCCCAGAGAGTCTCCGACGGGGTGCCGATGTCATGGCGGTGCCCAGTGCCCAAGAGTTTCACTGGCAGAGCTTGGCTCGACTGCCCAGCGGCCGTGTCTATCACACTCTGTCTGAAGTGGGGGGGCAGATGTACATGCTGGGGGGCTGTGACGCTGCAGGAAGGCCATGTCCATCCCTGGAGCTCTACTCCCCAGAGGTAAACAATGTGGACAGCGGAGCTGATAGTTTACTGTTTTCTGAGCAGGAATTATTAAACATAAAAATCTTTCAGTCCGTTAAAGACACAAATACACTTTTTTAAGCTAGAAATGAAACAGATATGAATTTATAAGAAACACGCAAGCATTGAATCTGTTTGATGTGTATGTACCCTGAACTAAACGAGCCATGGACTTTATCTGAACACAGAACTCTAATTTAAATAGTTAAATACAACCCAGTTCTTTGACAGCTGACGTGTCTTCCTCCTCGCAATTTTCAGGGGGACCGGTGGATAAGCTTGCCCCCTATGCCCACTCCTCGTGCTGGGGCAGCTGTGGCAGTTATGGGAAAGCAGATCCTGGTGGTGGGAGGAGTGGGAGAGGACCAGAGCCCTCTGAAGGTGGTGGAGATGTATAACACAGAGGAGGGGAGGTGGAGGAAGAGAAGTGCTCTACGGGAGGCACTGATGGGTGTATCCATTACAGTGAAAGGTATGGATTATACATAAACTGTATGCACCACATACTGCGTCTGTTTCTGTTTCTATAGCAAGTTTCTATTATGCATTTTAAGCAAAATTACTTTGTAATGGTTACTGAAAATAATTAGAATATTCCTCCTTAATTGCCCCCTTACAAACAACTATTCATAGTTATGGTAGACTTGCAACATGCTAGCTTTTACTCCAGAGTTTGTACTTGGCCTCAGTTTCATATACTTTTAAGAGATTTTGACTTCTGTAAAGGTCTTTGGCTTTGCTTGTTTGTCATTTTGTGTTGTATTACCCAACATGTTCTTCTGTGGATTCTGTTTAATGGTGACTGGTAAACATCTCATAGCTACGTTGTGACTACATACTGGCAGTAGAGGTTGTATTATTGATCAGGACTGATTGTGAAATGAAATGAAATGAGCAGTTTTGAGGGAAAAACAACAAACAATTTAAAAAAAAATCAAGATTCATACGTCGGGATTGTACTGTTATATCTCTTTGTGAGAATATGTACAGTCCATGGGAATTGTTGATATTGTAGAACTGTAATAACACAATGATGCCATTTGAATACTAAACCATCCCACTCAGAAAATCTGTAAGTGTTGTTGATTTCAGCTGCAGAGCAGACATGTGAAGAATACCACCAAACACCATCCTGGAGTTAAATGTGTTCTGAACACAGAATTCAGAACACATTTAACACATTTAAATTTCCTCCAAGCTGCCAGGCCACACTGCATTCTTGGAAAAATTTAGTTGTAACTTTTGCTGCACAAAGAGTCAAACCAAATACTGAAAGTAAAAATGTACATTATATTTTTGATTAGCTGCTGTTTTTCAAAGTGGCCACTGTTAGCTTTGATGACAGTTTAGCCCTAGCTGGCCTTATGTTTACCAGTTTCATCAGGTTACCACCTAATAGTTTTCAGTTAACAGGTAAGCTATCTTACGGATCTACCATTAGACAGATAAGCTAACAGTAACTCCTGGAAGTTTTGGCTTCTTAATGTTTCTGTGTTCATGTGTTGTATTCTGCTTAGGTAGTGTTATTGTACAGCAAATAGCCCTTCACTGGTGACACATCTGGTGATTTATTCAGCATTCCAGGCAGCAATGTGGTTTAACATTACAATAACCAAAACTCATCACCAAAATACTCTCAGGGCCATTTGGACAGGTAGGATAGTGATGAACAGCAGCTTTAGCTCACCTGGCTGCCACAAACAAGTGTTCGAAACCCTAACAACACATTTCAGAATGAGTTTAATGAGTCCAGAGTGAAGGAAAAGCAACCAGTAAGTGCTCAGCATATGTAGAAAACTTGGAGACTGTTGGAAAGGCTCCACATGATGACCTCATGAGACTGAAGAGTGTGCAAAGATGTTTTCAAAGCAAAAGTCGGCTGCTTTGAAGAATCTGAAATATAATATAAAAGAGCTTTTAGGTTTGTTTACTCTTCTCTCTGCTTTCACTGTTCTGTATTCTCTTTTGATCTTCTTAGTATATCCCTACACTGTAAAAGAAATAAAGAAAAAAACAAGTAGTGAGCATTCACAGTGAAGTAGGGAACATTAATAAGATCTGTTACAGACATAGACATACTCCTCATCCATAGTTGGGGTATATAAGTGTGTGTGTGCCAAAGAGCCATTTAAAACCTTTTCTGACAGCTTGTATATAAACATACATTAATAGGTCAAATTGCTGATGGACCTCATTGATCAGCGGGCTGCTCATTTGTCTTGCTTTCAGCTGTGTTTGTTTAAGACATTCGTGATAGCTGGAGGGTTTCAGCCCAGCTAATCCCTGGGGACATGAGACTGTTCCTTCAGAGTGTACACAGAGGGAGACAGATAACCATTCACACTCACATTGACACCTCCAGAAACTCTGCAGACTACTCAAATCTGACTCCGGTAGCACGTGGGTACAGTTTTATTACCCACAGGCTGGACACCACAGTAATTAGAACTTTTGCTTAACAGCAAAGCCGGCTGGGGCTTCACAGTTTGCATGAGTTCTCTGTGGGTACTCTGGCTTCCTCGCACATGCATGTCCAAAGATATGCACGTTAGGTTAACTGGCAATTTTAAGTCGACTGCAGGTCTGAATGAATATCATCAGCGTTTGGATGATGGATGTCCAGAGGCTCAGCTCAGGACAAATACGCTCTCCCTGAAACATACAATGAAACACAAACCCGTGAGAAACATCGCTCACGTGCGGCTGTCTGATCACAGCTGTTTCACAGAAAATATGAATGCATTAGCATGTGGGCAAAAAATTTATCATGTTAAGTGAAACAAAGAAAGATACAGTTATATTTTTGAAACAATGGCTAAAATAACCACTCAACGTTCCATTTAAGACAAATTTAACCCAATTTTAGCCTTTGTAATGTGCACTGGTCATCATCAGCCAATCAAGGAAACATATCAAAGTTGCTAAGTGCATGAATGGGAATCAGTCACAGTTTGGTGAAGTTATCTTTTGAATAGGTTTTGGCTGGAGGTGATTGTTTTATGGCTGTATTGGGTTATGTATGGTCTAAACTGATGTCTAATGTAGGCCGTTATTTATAGCGTTATTCAGACTAAACAACCCAGTTTTCAATGAGTAATTTGGGGTAAATAAAGGACAGAAAAACTATTTCCATCAATGTGTGGTGCTTGCTTGGTATTATTCCTGGTGTTGAGTGAGTCACACATATGCCAGGTCCATATGTATGATTGCCACCCTGAGCTCAGTTATACAATAGCTATCTGTCACCTTGTTAATCTCCCAATTGTCACGTTATCTATTGTCATCAGTGGAGAATAACTTTAGTCAAAATTAAAACCATACATTTTCTGTGCCCATGTGTAGTTCAAACTCTGAAATTTCATAGGAAATAAAAGAGTTATGGCTAATTTTATGTGCCTAAAAATGAGAGCAATAAAAACAAACAAGATGCATCCATCAAGAATTAACTGTGCAAAGTGTGAAGAAGATAATCAGAGTAGCTGCTCTCCACTGTGAACTTCAGATCAACACTTGGGTGCACTTTAATTTTTACCAAAAAGTCGGCTCTGTTTTGCTGTCTGAAGTCATTGGAGCGATATTTGGGGGCTCTGATTTATTCCTACATTTTGCAGCTAGTGTGAGCGGTCTTCTCAGGGAGCTTCTCTATGACTGCGGTGCATCTGTCAGTGTCCGAGGGAACGCAGATAGATGCTGTATACACATAGACTTATTGGCTTGTATGGGCTCCATTGTGCTCCCTCTATCTCCCTGACCACTTTTCGATCCTCTGCCCTTTGCTCGCACTTTCATCCCCCAGCTCATCCCGAGCAGCTGAAAAAGAGACAGATCGTCTGACAAAATAATCAATAATAGCAAATTAAAACAAATCTGGTATTTCTGAATGGAGCGTCAGCCACCACATTGACTAAATGATGTCATTTTTATTGACGTTTGTGGGATCGTTATTTTCTGGATATTTAATAATGAACTTGTGGTAATGAGACATTCTTTTCCCCAAATGAATATAAAGTGTTTTTGCAAACTTTCTTCCCCTCTTGTCACTAATGCAGATGCATTGAGGTTAGAATCTGAAGTCAAGTGGCTTTGTAAAGAAACATTTGACTAAAGTAAACACACAATAAAAATGCAGATTGCTTCCCTGCAGCTCTTTTCCTCTTCATTTTGACGATTAATGCTGCTTTTCTCACGCTTCGACACTCGCCTTCACTTTCGATTCTTATGCTTGGGGTGTCATGCCAAAGTGCCAGACGTGGACTCTTGCATTTTTATTCTACTGCTGTACTTTCTGTCCTTCGTCTGTCAGATTTTCTTGCCTTGTCACAAGCTAACTTCTCATCCGTGTCTGCCTGTGGATGAGCAGATTTTTTAGCACTTCATGAAGTGCCCACAAGTTGTTTCCATCAGCTAGGATGCGGTGGAGAAGTGTAGCTCCACTTTTGTAATCATTGTGATATAATGTCTGAAATGTCCTGTCTCTGTGCATGTGTCTAGATGGCCGTGCTCTGGCTCTTGGGGGAATGTGTGCAGACCTGCTTCCCCGTAGTATCCTGCAGCAGTATGACCTTCGAAAGGACGTGTGGGCGCTACTTCCTTCCATGCCGACCCCACGCTACGATGCTAACACACATCTGCTTGGCAATAAGCTCTATGTGGCAGGTACTAACACATGAGCACAGCTATTATGTCTGCACTTTATTTGTCACTCTAGTAGACAACTTTTTTTTTACCCTTAAGGTGGCCGTCAGTGTAAGCGACCGTTAAAGGCCTTTGAGGTGTACGACACAGAGACGCGATCTTGGACTACGCTACCCATGATGCCATGCAAACGTTCCTATGGGGGTGTGATATGGGACCCAGCTGGCAGGCTGTGCCTGTTAGGAGGACTGCGGCAGGGCGGGGGACACCAAAGCTCCAAGTTCACCAAGAACGTCAATATTTTTGACACCAACCAAGGTACAGCGCTTAATGATTTTAACCTTTATGCTAGTTTTTAATTTGTTTTTCACATGTAGTAAAAGTAGAAAGAATTCTTGCCATATGCATATCAGGATTCATTGCATATCAGGACAGATAATCGTATTAGAACTGCACATCCAGAACACACCAGCTCAAGTTTGAATCTTTCACTAAACTTAAGCGGGGCTCAACTTCAGAGCTGAACAGAGAGCAAAACATGAAACAGATCTGAGGCGTTCAAAGGCAAGTATGCGTCATACTCTTTTACATGCAGCTCTGTATCCAAAACGTATCAGGTTGTGAAAGAATAATTCAACATTCTGCAAATTATACATATTTGCTTTCCTTCTGAGAGCCTGATGAAAAGTTCAGTGTTGAAATAGCAATTCCAATCTGTCCTCAAGTCCCTTCATTGCCTCCGTTATCATTTCCCTTATGCGTGCATAGAATGGATAAAAGAATTTTCTAACCTAAAAACATTTGACAGCTAAATGTGTGAAATCTCACGTTTGATTGAACCTAATGTCAAAATGACTATGACTGGGGGAAATATTTCTTAACGAACAACATTATATCAGAAATCTGTTAACTCCAGCTTGACAGCAAGACTCCTGCATGCAGTCACTGTGTCAAGCTAATGTTTGCCAAGAAATACTTCCAGCATGCTACTTCCTATAGTCATGTTTAAACCAATATGTTGTCATTCCAGAGCATCATTTACTACTGTTCTGTCAGCTGCATCTGGTGTCTCAGACA